AAAAGAGGAGGCAGTTAGGGTAAGATATAAAACAGCTATTGGAGGATAGATGGGCTAATGAGAGCATAGGCAATGGGGTCGAAGAGGTATGGGGTAGGTTTAAAAATGTATGTAGAGTGTTCACAGAATGTGGTTACAGGAAAGTGGGTGCGGGAGGGAAGAGGAGCGATTGGTGGAATGATGATGTGAAGAGAGTAGTAAGGGAGAAAAAGTTAGCATATGAGAAGTTTTTACAAAGTAGAAGTGATGCAAGGAGGGAAGAGTATATGGAGAAAAAGAGAGAGGTTAAGAGAGTGGTGAAGCAATGTAAAAAGAGAGCAAATGAGAGTGGGTGAAATGTTATCAACAAATTTTGTTGAAAATAAGAAAAAGTTTTGGAGTGAGATTAACAAGTTAAGAAAGCCTAGAGAACAAATGGATTTGTCAGTTAAAAATAGGAGAGGAGAGGTATTAAATGGAGAGTTAGAGGTATTGGGAAGATGGAGGGAATATTTTGAGGAATTGTTAAATGTTGATGAAGATAGGGAAGCTGTGATTTCGTGTATAGGGCAAGGAGGAACAACATCTTGTAGGAGTGAGGAAGAGCCAGTTGTGAGTGTGGGGGAAGTTGGTGAGGCAGTAGGTAAAATGAAAGGGGGTAAGGCAGCCGGGATTGATGGGATGAAGATAGAAATGTTAAAAGCAGGTGGGGATATAGTTTTGGAGTGGTTGGTGCAATTATTTAATAAATGTATGGAAGAGGGTAAGGTACCTAGGGATTGGCAGAGAGCATGCATAGTTCCTTTGTATAAAGGCAAAGGGGATAAAAGAGAGTGCAAAAATTATAGGGGGATAAGTCTGTTGAGTATACCTGGCAAAGTGTATGGTAGAGTTATTATTGAAAGAATTAAGAGTAAGACGGAGAATAGGGTAGCAGATGAACAAGGAGGCTTTAGGAAAGGTAGGGAGTGTGTGGACCAGGTGTTTACAGTGAAACATATAAGTGAACAGTATTTAGATAAGGCTAAAGAGGTCTTTGTGGCATTTATGGATTTGGAAAAGGCGTATGACAGGGTGGATAGGGGGGCAATGTGGCAGATGTTGCAGGTGTATGGTGTAGGAGGTAGGTTACTGAAAGCAGTGAAGAGTTTTTACGAGGATAGTGAGGCTCAAGTTAGAGTATGTAGGAAAGAGGGAAATTATTTCCCAGTAAAAGTAGGCCTTAGACAAGGATGTGTGATGTCACCGTGGTTGTTTAATATATTTATAGATGGGGTTGTAAGAGAAGTAAATGCGAGGGTCTTGGCAAGAGGCGTGGAGTTAAAAGATAAAGAATCACACACAAAGTGGGAGTTGTCACAGTTGCTCTTTGCTGATGACACTGTGCTCTTGGGAGATTCTGAAGAGAAGTTGCAGAGATTGGTGGATGAATTTGGTAGGGTGTGCAAAAGAAGAAAATTGAAAGTGAATACAGGAAAGAGTAAGGTTATGAGGATAACAAAAAGATTAGGTGATGAAAGATTGGATATCAGATTGGAGGGAGAGAGTATGGAGGAGGTGAATGTATTCAGGTATTTGGGAGTGGACATGTCAGCGGATGGGTCTATGAAAGATGAGGTGAATCATAGAATTGATGAGGGGAAAAGGGTGAGTGGTGCACTTAGGAGTCTGTGGAGACAAAGAACTTTGTCCTTGGAGGCAAAGAGGGGAATGTATGAGAGTATAGTTTTACCAACGCTCTTATATGGGTGTGAAGCATGGGTGATGAATGTTGCAGCGAGGAGAAGACTGGAGGCAGTGGAGACGTCATGTCTGAGAGCAATGTGTGGTGTGAATATAATGCAGAGAATTCGTAGTTTGGAAGTTAGGAGGAGGTGCGGGATTACCAAAACTGTTGTCCAGAGGGCTGAGGAAGGGTTGTTGAGGTGGTTCGGACATGTGGAGAGAATGGAGCGAAACAGAATAACTTCAAGAGTGTATCAGTCTGTAGTGGAAGGAAGGCGGGGGAGGGGTCAGCCTAGGAAAGGTTGGAGGGAGGGGGAAAAGGAGGTTTTGTGTGCAAGGGGCTTGGACTTCCAGCAGGCATGTGTGAGCGTGTTTGATAGGAGTAAATGGAGACAAATGGTTTTTAATACTTGACGTGCTGTTGGAGTGTGAGCAAAGTAACATTTATGAAGGGGTTCAGGGAAACCGGCAGGCCGGACTTGAGTCCTGGAGATGGGAAGTACAGTGCCTGCACTCTGAAGGAGGGGTGTTAATGTTGCAGTTTAAAAACTGTAGTGTAAAGCACCCTTCTGGCAAGACAGTGATGGAGTGAATGATGGTGAAAGTTTTTCTTTTTCGGGCCACCCTGCCTTGGTGGGAATCGGCCAGTGTGATAATAAAAAATAATAAAATAATTCTAGCGGCTTCAAATTAAGCAGGAGAAAGCTGGTAGGCCCACATGTGAGAGAATGGGTCTTTGTGGTCAGTGTGCACTGTATAAAAAAAGTCCTGCAGCACGCAGCATGTAATGAAAAAAAAAAAAACTTCGACCGTGTTTTTGGATTAAAATGCCGACTTTGAGGTGTATTTTCATACAGTATGTATTTATGGTTGTATTCTTGCTTTCTTGGTCTCATTTGATAGAATGGAATACATATTACAGAAATAGAGATGATTTTGATTAGTTTCACAATGAAAATGACCTTGAAATTGAGCTCAAAGCAGTGGAAATGTTCAATTTTTACCAATGCTCAAGAGTAAGCAAATCACACCACACATCCAATACACGTCAACTGGGCAGTCTAATATTCTTTCACTAGTGGAATGATATTACTTATACCATTTTTACAATAATGCAGTAGTCTGCATAGCAGTAAATCTTCTATTTTTTGTGTAAATAAAAAATTAAAATAGAAAGCAAGAGTAATATAAGAGGGGCCTGGAGACGTGACTAATGAACAGAGGATATGTTGTTTTAGTGCCAAAATGTCTGCATTGTTTATTCTGGACCCTATTTTGAAACTGGCATCTTTTTTATTTTGCATGAAACTGGGCAAATTGCCAATTTCTGACCACTTTGTTGGGGAGCTGAAATTGGTAAGTGGGCAGTTTCTTGTACTCAATTGATAGAAATAATGGAGTTCTAAAGAAACAGCTATGAGTTTGGTTGACTGGAACAATGGAATTGGCCGAAAATAGGGCTTAAATTCAGCAAAATCGCCAATGCGTATATATCACCAAGATCGTTAACTTTGCGGGAGCATAATTTCGTAAGTTTTCCATCAAATTTCATACTTTTGGTCTCATTAGCATCAAGAAAAGATTCTCTATCATTTCATATGAATTTTTTTTTCCGAAAAATTTTGTGACATAGAATGACAGTTTCAGAAATGGGCTTGCTATTGTCAAAGGGTTAATCGTCCACTAACTGAGGAATATAGAGATAGACAGTATAATAACCTATGTGGCAAGTCAAGATATCTTAGTTATGAAAATAAGATACCAGATATACTAAGAAATTTCCTAAATTTACTTATACAGATAAGTGAACTGTAGATATGTAGATAAAAATCCAAATGTACACCTGTTAACTCTTTTGGGGCTTAGTTCCTAGGTCTTTTGTGTATCCACATGCTCTTGCGTTAACGTCCACAGGATGGATACGGGGTGCACCCTAAACTAGCCACCTCGGTGGCAAAATCTAAAAAAAATCTGGTTCCACAACCTAACGTTGCATAATAAGTTACATAACATTAAGTTTTCTGGTTAAAGTGCTTCAGTTGATCATACAGGAGAAGGTAATTTCCCTTCCAAATTTCAGGAAATTATTTCTGAGGGTGGCTATGAGCCACATCAAGTGTTTAATGCTGATGAGACAAGTGTTTTTTGGAAGAAAATGCCAACAAGAACTTATATCAGTCACCATGAGAAAAGTGCACCAGGCTTCAAGGCAGAGCTCAATGCACAGATACAAGGGAGCCAGTTAACAGAAGATGAAGAAGAACCTGAAGAAAAACAGTTAACATTGCAACAGTTACGTGAGCTGTTCCATGCTGCTGCTAAACTAGCAGACTTTTTCACTGAAGAGGACACTTACAAATCTAGAAGCAGTGCATTGAAACAGGGTCTATAGCAGCTGATGATGCATTACTGTCAGCTGTACGATGTACTGCAGGGTAAAAGAAGCCAGAGATCCATTACAGAATTTATGAACACTCCAATACAATCATTGACTTTAGTACCAGAACCTCAACCAGCCACTTCTGCCAACAACCAACAACCATCCACCTCAGCCGAGTAGGACCACACCATACATCTCCACTCTCTTCACAATCACTGACATATTCCAGCAACCACAATTTAAGGTAAATATTATTATTTCTGTTGCATTTGTAGTCTTAAAAAACAAAAACATTATCATTTTTATTTTTGTAAGATCTGGATGTCAAAAGTAAGTTGTTGGCCTTTTGGAGGACCCAAGGAATGTAACCCTATTTTTCCCATAAGTTCTTCAGTTTATGTAATACAGATTTATCTAACACAACATTTTCAGGAATGTAACTACTGTGTAATATAAGGGTGTACTGTACTCTGATGCAATGTCATAACTGTTGTCAATAACAGGGGGATTCGATCATGCAACTCAGTTATTTGTAGTGATGGTGATATAATTCGTTGTTACAACGATGACCTACATATAAGCCACATAAAAGAAGAAAAAGTGGGAGAGAGGGAGGGAGGAAAGAAATGAGGCAGAGGAAAGGTAGGAGAAATAGGGAAAGAGGAAGAAGAGATGAAAGAAAGAGATGGAGGGAAAGACAGAGGGATGAGGAGGAAAAGAAAGGAAAGCAGGATGAGGAAAGAAAAGAAAGATAGAGAAAAAAAAAACAATTAAAAGTGATGTACTGTAATACGTGAAAAATAAAGATCATAAGAGGAAAAAACAAAGCTGAGAAAGAAAAAAGGAAGAGGCAATAAAAAAACAAATAAAAATAACAAATATAAATACAGAATTTCCTGAAGTGCTGCCCACTTACCTCCAGGAACTTGACTGAGGACAACAGATGTGAGGAATTTTTGTGATCTCTCAACAACATCAAGCCAAACTGACGACACAGTGGACTCATCAAACAACGTTGCTTCAGGCAGTGTTTCTAAAGCTTCTAGTGATTCCTAAGATAAAAAGAACAATGCTTTGTAGAAAAATTATACTCATTATCAATCAAGTTTATTCTCTATAAGGATTACAATGCGGGGTTTACAGATTTTGGTTATTGTGTGGTTTACATGTAATAAAATACTAATTACAGAGGGGGCCACTAGGACACCTAGCATGGCTAGGCATTTCGGGCAAACTTAGATTAATTCTTAACCCAAAATTATTACAAATTATTATAAATGTGAAGAGAAGAAACTTTGGTTTCTTCTTTTTCAAGCCACCCTGCCTTGGTGGAAGATGGCCGGTGTGTTCAAAAAATAATGATAATGTCATACTCTATCACAGAACGCACAACTAAGTCTTGTTTTGTGTTTTATATAGTTTGGAGAAACTCAAATATCACTTCTTACATAATAATTTAGTTGCATTAGTACATAATTAAGTTTACATCTTCGAACTCTAGATGTAACACTGGACACTGTGTGTTATGAAATTATGCCCAACCCCCTCTAAAACCACAACCATAAAACAGATAGTCCCTCAGGTTTCAAGACATCCTTCAACCAACTGGGAAATGATTAACACATCTTTCACAATCCAAAGGCTTTCAATGGGGTTCATGTTTGGGAAATTTCCTAGCCAGATATGAAGCTACTGAACAATAGATTTCACAGTGGCAAGGAGCACTGCCTTGCATAAAAATCATTGTATACACTGCTTGAAAGATTCATACAAATGATTACAAAGCACATCCCACAAAGACAGGGTGACCCAAAAACAAAAACAAAAGTTTCTCTTTTTAAATTTAGTAATACATGTACAGTATACACAGATTTATCTGGAACATTTTAGTTATTACACTATTGAAAAACTGTGGCATAATTTTATTTAGTACATCGTAAAATTAACTCAACATGGTTTGGTTTGTGGGAGGGGAAAAATTTGGAGCGTTGCTCGCAGGATATTTCCCTAGCTCAGGCCGCCACCTTGCTGTGGGTGAGACCAGTGTCTCCATGAGGGAGTCCTACCACCATCCCCTGCCACCCCCGTCCCAGCCTTCCGTTCATACGCATCTAGAACCATTCTCTACTAGGAGCTAGCTGTGTTTATGGGTTGCATTTTAATATTTTAATTGCCATATCTTGTAACTTATTCTTTTTAGTAATCTTTACAGGAAAAGGGGTTACTAGCCCATTGTTCCCGGCATTTTAGTTGACTTTTACAACATGCATGGCTTACGGAGGAAAGATTCTTATTCCACTTCCCCATGGATATAAAAGGAAAAGTAATAAGACCAAGAACTATTAAGATAAAATCAAACAAAACTCAGATGAGTGTGTATAAATAAACATGTACATATATGTGTAGTGTGACCTAAGTGTAAGTAGAAGTAGCAAGACGTACCTGTAATCTTGCATATTTATGAGACAGACAAAAGACACCAGCAATCCTACCATCATGTAAAACAATTACAGGCTTCGTTTTACACTCACTTGGCAGGACGGTAGTACCTCCCTGGGTGGTTGCTGTCTACCAACCTACTACCTGATCAAAGTAGAATGACATGGAAAGCATATAAATCTATAGGGGAAGGAAAGAGGGGTAGGGGTCGTCCTCGAAAGGGTTGGAAAGAGGGGGTAAAGGAGGTTTTGTGGGCGAGGGGCTTGGACTTCCAGCAAGCGTGCATGAGAGTGTTAGATAGGAGTGAATGGAGACGAATGATACTTGGGACCTGACAATCTGTTGGAGTGTGAGCAGGGTAATATTTAGTGAAGGGATTCAGGGAAACCGGTTATTTTCATATAGTCGGACTTGAGTCCTGGAAATGGGAAGTACAATGCCTGCACTTTAAAGGAGGGGTTTGGGATATTGGCAGTTTGGAGGGATATGTTGTGTATCTTTATACGTATATGCTTCTAAACTGTTGCATTCTGAGCACCTCTGCAAAAGCAGTGATGGTGTGTGAGTGTGGTGAGGGTGTTGAATGATGATGAAAGTATTTTCTTTTTGGGGATTTTCTTTCTTTTTTGGGTCACCCTGCCTCGGTGGGAGGCGACCGACTTGTTGAAAAAAAAAAAAAAAAAAAAAAAAAAAAAGAGAAAAACTTCTTGTAACTGCCAAGCAATCATGGCACCCAGTAGGCAAACAAGTGGTGCTGAAAGTGGCAAGAAAAGGGTTAAGTTTTAACCCTTTCAGGGTCTGTCCCGTAATCTACGGCTTTACGGTGAGTGCCCAAACCCGTAACCCTACGCCTGAGCTCACTCACTCTATAAACTGGGGAAGTGGACATTTGGGCCAAAATTTGGGAGAAAACATCTATGTGGTATGGGGCACCACATAAAACAGATCCTCCCAGCACACGGGGGGGGGGGGGGGGGGGGGGGGTTTAATAAAGGGAAAAAAAGGGAGATCATGTTTTTTTGTTTAAAAAACAGCGACTTTCAGTTTTTTCCCTCGTATGTTTTTTAAAAGTTGTTTTTGGCCGATTTCTTGGTCTAAATTTGTTTAAATGGAAACATATTACAGAAAAGAGATTTTTGATTGGTTTTGGCACGTAAAAGGGTTTAAATGAGCTCAAAGTAGCAGAAATTTTAAAATTTTTTTGCCGTTTTTTTCAAGAGTAAACAAACACCTCACAAACTAAAAAACCGTCCTGGGGGTCTAATATAAAATTCACAAATTTTGGTGAGATTTTTATAAAATTTATTACAGTATTCATAACAGAAAAATCTTCAAATTTTTTTGGTGTGAATAAAAAATTCATTAGGGAATAAAAAACAAAATGAATTTTTTTGGGAAAGCCTCAAAATGTAACTAATGAACAGGGGAAATTTTTAGTTTAGTTCCGGGAAAATACCTACTTTGGGTTTTTTTCCTGGACCCCATTTTAAAATTTGGGAATATTTTGAACTTTGTGTTAAATGGCCAAAAAAAAAACAAAATTTCCCCATCACTTTATTTTGAGTTGAAACTTTTACTTGGCGATTTTTTGTGCTCAGTCGATAGAATAGAAATAATACTAGTTAAATACTAAGAATTTGGTTTTAAATTGGGGAAAAATGTAATTGGGCCAAAAAAGGGAAATCAAAGTCCCGGGAAAAACGCCGATTTTGTAAATACCCCTGGAAAACATCAAAATTCCCCCGAGAGCAAAAATTTTCCCTCCCAATTTTCCACCAAATTTCGTACTTTTTGTTTTTTACCTTCCCCAAAAAAAATTTTCCCCTAAAAGATTTATAAAAAAATAACAAATTTTTTTTTTAAAAATTTTTGGACACTGGTGCGTGACTTCAGATTTTGGGCCCTTGGGCCCCCGAAAAAGGTTTTAAATCTTGGAGTTTCAAAGAAAAAACAAGCTTTTAGTAAAGAACAACCCAGGATGTCTCTCATGAAAAAAAGACACAGATCAAAAAATACAGCCCTCTCCTCATTTACAGGCCCCCCCAAACATAATTTTTCCCCTTGACTGTCCCAACCCCCCAAAAACCCGGGGGTGTCCCCTGGGGGTCGAAAAAATTTTTTTCCCCCCCCCCAAAAAAAAAAAATTCTTTTGAAAAAGAAGAGGGAACTTTTCCTGATTGGGAATGACAAACCCAAAAAAACGAAATCCCGATAGAAAAAATGGGCCCGGGAAATTTCCTCCCCTGAAGTTTGCGACCTCGGGAATATTTACAAAACACAATTTTGCCCCACTTTTACCCCATTTTTAGCTTTAAATTTCCCTTGTTCCCCGTCGACCAAACCATACCTATTTATTTTGAACTTTCCCTTTTTTTCCCATTTAATGAGTACAAGAAACTGTCCCCTTTACCATTTTTAAAAATACCCAATTTAAAGCAGTCAGAAATTGCAAATTTTTGGGCAATTTTTAAAAGAAAAAATTTAAAAAAAATAAAAAATTTCAAAATAGGGTCCAGAATGAACAATGCAGACACTCCTCGCTCTAAAATAACATTTTCTTTTTTCATCAGTCACGTCTCCAGGCCCCTCCGATATTACTCTTGCTTTCTATTTTGAATTTTTATTCAAACAAAAAATAGAAGATTTACTGTTATGCAGACTACTGCAATATTGCAATAATTGTATAAATAATGTCAACCCATTCATGACTGCATATTAGAATGGCTACTTGGACATTTATTGGAAAATGACATCATCTGTTTACTTTTGAACATTGGCAAAAATCAAACATTTCCCCTACTTTCAAGGTTCTTTTCATAGTAAAACTAATCAAAATCACCTCTATTTCTATATGTTTTCCATTCTATCAAATGAGACCAAGAAAACAAGAATACAACCATAAATAATATACAAAAATAGACCACAAAGTCGGCATTTTAATTAAAAAAAACAACGGTCAGAGTTTTTTTCTTCTCATTATTAGGGGGCTGAGGATTTTTTTTTATATGGTGCACACAAACCACACAGACTATTCTCTCACTGTGGCCTCCCAAAATTTCTCCTGTTTATTTGAAAGCCTTACAATTTATGAGTATATATACGCAAAAACGGGGGCTAAAAAGAGTAATATATACGCCCCAAAACCCAAAAAAGGGTTTAAAAAAATAAAGTTATCAAGTTGGTTTATTTTTTTTTTAGTTTTTTCTTTCTAATATGCTTTTAATTTGCCTTTTGGCATCGTTACAAAGTGGGGGAACTATAGCAGGGGGAGGAGAGTGTTCGTAATCATGATCCTTAATGCGGGGAGAGGTGGCCTCTCAGCACTATAAAAATTTTAAAATTATACCAGGGACCCCGTTTTTTTCGTAATTAATTCTTTCCCAGAGGTGGAATTATCAAAATTGACGTTTTGGGAAAATCCTTTTTCCCCCATAAAAAAATAATATAAACCCAAATTTAATTTGTTAAAACCCCCCCAGAAGTATCAAATTTTTTTTTTACCTTGACGTTTTTACATGCAAAAAAGAATGAACATTCAACAGACAGTTACCTTTTTTAAAGGTTGTCGTTGTGAAGGGAAAGACGGAGGAGGAAGAGGTGTTATGCGGGTTCT